GCTTGTTCCAAGTAGGTGCTTTAGACCACTGAGCCATCTCTCCAGCCCCTATGTTATTTTTTGAGATAGAGTATCACTATGCTATTCAGGCTGGCCTTGGCTCACTTTTGTAGCTCCCAGGCTGATCTTGAACTTGCAGAGATCCTCCTGGCTCAGGCTCCTGAGGTCTAGGATTATAGGTGTGCACCACCATGCCTGGTTCTAGAGTGGTGATTTTTGACCAAGCTTGTAGGCTGCCTTGCCCGTGCAGGAGGAGCGCATGTCCACGGGGGCCATGTTCTGTGCGTGCATTTAGCCCGCATTCCTGCAGTCCTCACCCACTATCTGGGTCAACAGGAAGGTGGGGGCTTGGAGTCTGTCTATTTCCCCCTGGTTTCTGCCAGCGTGTGGTTCTGTGTCTTTAGTGCTCTGTGTTTAGATGATGTAGGTGTCATTTCCCCATCTGCTCCCCATTGACCCTTTTGTCGTTAGTGTCCCTTAGGCCTGTAGCATTTTTGTTTCAAAGTTTACTTGGCTGATACAGTGTAGCTGCTCATCTTTTTTTGTTCTTGCCTGCATCACTTTTACATTATGCCAAGGGTCTTGGTCCTCCTGGTGTCTCCCGATGCGAGTGTTGGTTTCCCTTGGTCCTGATAGTGGAGTCTGCCACATCTCCCTTGTAGACACTCCAGCTTTCTTATTTTTGAGACAGAGTCTCACTATGTAGCTCAGGCTAGCCTTGAACTCATGGTGATCCTCCTGCTTTAGCCTTCCCAGTGCTGGGATTACAGGCGTGCACCACCACTCTGGCTTCCAGGTTCTCCTCTGTAGTGAAGGAGAACAGCATATGTGAACTTGTGCCAGTACTTGTTCCTTGCTAGCTTGAGCCTTGCTGGAGTGAGTTATCGCTGTATTCAGTGAGAACCCATGACGTCTGTCTTCCTACTTGTGTTTGGTTTTATTTTCCGTTTTTTTTTTTGTTTTAGGGAAGGGTCTACAGGGTGTTCAAGTTCTCACTACTAGATCAGACTTGTAGTGATCCTCCTGTTTATAGCCTCCCAAGTACAGGGATTACAGGCACGTACCACTGTGCCTAATCTCAATCATGTCTCAGCACGCCCTGGGGCTGGGGCCTACAAGGCAGGTGCGGGGATTGAACCCCTGGCCCCTGTGCCTGCTTGCAGGCACTTTAATCCACTGAGCTATTTTGGCCGGCCCAAAAGTTGAGAGGAATTTTTTTTTTTTTTTTTGGCTGGCTCAGGCTACCTTAAGGATGGGTCTGGTAAGCCCCGTGGAGCTGGGAATCAAACTGTGATATCCTGCGCCTGACTGCATATGCATGAGCAGGTGCTTAAACAATTGAGCTAACTGGCAGGTCCTCCCTACTTGTGTTGATTAGAATTCTTGGACTTCTTTTTTTGGCACCGGTTATTGAACTCAGGGCCTTAGGCTTATCAGGCAGATGACACTGATACTGCTGAGCTGTGTCCCCGACCCTTGACTAGCATTCTTTTGAAAGGTTGAACTTCTTTTCTTTGATGTCTGCCTGTGTTTATTTTTATTGTATTGTGTTTTTTTGTTTTGTAATTGGGTCTGGCTCTGGAGTTCAAACTAGCCTTGAACTTGCAGCAGTGCTCTTGTCTCAGCACAACCAGCCCAGCTTAATGGGTTCTTGTCTCTGTTGCACAGTGGTCCTAAGCCGTTATTGCTGGTCATATAATGTTCAGACTGTCCTGGAGTCTTCCTGTGGAAGCTCCTGCAGGCTGGCATCTCTTCTCTGTGCATGTCCCATTGTTTACTTGAACATGTCCTTTTTTTT